TTTATGCAGAATTAATTTGTTATCACTTTAGTGTTTTGATTTTATCTGGAAAGTGTGTGTGTAGGCGTCGCAACTTCTCTTTTGACTTCTGTGCCTTTGTGAACAAACGACTCACATGAAGAAAAAAAGAAGTGAAAAAAAGTGTATTTTTCAAGGTTATCTGAAATCTTTGGTGTAGGCGTTATAAGTGTGTGCATGTGAGTGTGTTTGTGCTTTTTACAAAACGTCAATAAACAGAATAATCACTGAAGGTTGTAAATACAGATAAGGATTTTCATGAGTTAAACACTTTAATTGATGGAAAGTGTTTGATTCGAAGGAATGTCAATCCGAGTGCAATGCTGTAATACAAATTGTTAAATAACTTAAATTATTCTAAGTATAGATTAGCAGGTAATTGATCTGATCTGAACAGAATTAGCTGTCACCGTGCTGTCGGCTAATAGTACTCCTTAAATTCCGTTTTTGACACTTTCCCATCCCTTCGTGTTCCAGATGGGACACATAGGGCGACAGACTTGAGCTTTAATATTTTAGTGGTGGTGGTGGTGAGGTTTCTAGCCTGATGCTCAGTCTTTCCTCTTTGCTAGGTTAACTACCCATCAACAGATTGGTTTAGGACTGCATCAGCCGGGAATCGAACTCCAGTGAGTATTCCACCAATGAACCACCAACACACTAGCATACCATATATCAGACACAAAAGGTGGAGAATGACATAGTGTGTCATAATATCTTCACGTTTGAATCATTCGCAAACTCGCAAGTGGTTTGAACAAAGTATTACATTGCATAACAATATTTTGGAAGAGTTTTATGCTAAACTGGCAGTTTTCCATTACGATACTGTAAAACAAAAAGTCAAAATTTCGATTCATTTTACTGCTTTAGTCACTATTCATCCAGTTAGCTTCATTAGTGATGAGGATTGCTGTGTGTCACAGTTTAAAGTTGGGTGGTCCTCGTCATTAATTCGTGAGAATAACTCCAGCAAACAGAGTTGTATTGAAACGTATTTAATAAATCTGTGTGTCTGAAGGAAACTTGTACAGTCCCTTTCTTGGCCAACTTTGGTCAACTACATAATATGTATTAGGTTTTATTTTTAAAACGATTTTTCCCCTACCCTTGTAACTATCTTTTGACTTTGTTAATTTTCACAATTTTTATAATTCTAGCTAATTCTTTTAACTTGTTTGTATTTTATGTAGCTCTTGTGAGTCATCCTATTCTTCTTAGTCACCATTGCTATTTTACAAATTTCCCAATCATGTAATAACTTGTTGCTGACATCTAAGAATCAACGTATCTTGAATTCCGTAATTAATTTTCACCCGTCTTTTAAAACTTAGATACCTTGTTACTAACATCAATTAGTTAATTCAAAACAATTAGTTCCCTTTATGGATTTAAACAAAGCAATACGAAGACACAATTTGTCTGAATCGTGTACTGTGTATTTGCGCGACACATTTCGAACAATCTGATCACACACGAACTTGTTTTATGAATGTATACATGAAATTAATAGAGAGTTAAGAGGTGAGAATCGATCCTAAATGACTCCAGAAGCAAACAGAATCCTCAGAACCTATTAGTGGTGAGAACAGGAGACCTAGCTCCTCTATCGCGAAACATATTATAGAGACAGGACATAGAATTGACGTTTACACATCTTTCAAACCTATCTGTAGAACGTGTTTTGGGCGTATCCTAAAGTCTATGTAAGCCGTAACTAGCAATCAGGAAGTTTATGCGTTCAAAGCAACAATTCGTCACCACACTAAACCTTTTTTGATAAACTTTGTTTTGATACCAGCCACGGTAGATGTACTATTACCTCTGTTATTTGGTTTACTGATCTTCGTTGTTATTTTGACCTTCAATTTGCCCCTTTAACTTGACCTAAATTTATCTTACCTCTTCACTAATTTCATATATATATTCCTATGACAAGTGCGTGTGTAATCAGATTTTTCGGAATGTGTTGCGCAAACACAATACACGATTCAAACAAATTACGTCTTGTTATTGCTTCGTTTATTAATTAGTTGTTCTGATGACTTTTAACCTCTTACTTTCAATCCCCCCCCTATACTTAAAAATTATAAACTAAAATAACCACTTGATTGGTAAGACATCTTGATGTAAAAACAATGTATTAGTGTAAAGTCGATGATGAGAAGCTAATTGAAAAGGAATATACATTTCTGAATTGTATTCATTTTGAAGTTTATGTGAATAAATCTAAGCAGTTGTTGGCAGTCTAAACAATCTTTAAACTACTCTGAAAAGCGTACATGTGGAACAGACCTTAGAAATATACTATATAAGGCTATCTACTGGAAACCATTTAACTATGTTGAGTTCACCGCGTGCTTACAATTGATGATTTAAGATAGAATAACTTACAAGCAAACAGATATGAAAACGCAACACGTTTTTTGTTTTTATATCTGCTTTGCGTCAAGCATAGGAGTATACAGTTTAGATGTACACGCCCTGCAAATACTGTGAAATGTTTCACTAATACAGAGTGTCTTTATGCTATCTGCATGTTAATTCATGATAGATTAGCACAGTCACTGTTAAAATTATTGAAAGATAAGTTACTAGAATTTTCAATTACACTTCTTTTATAGAACCTTCAGAAGTCTGAAGTACTCTTTAGTTTCTAATTATCTTTACAGTGCATTTATTTATCAAATCTTTATCTAGACATTCTGAATCCACCGATCACGGCTACTGTTGGTTAGTCGAAGGTTTAATGTTCAGCTTAGACATATAATAATTATTGTTCCTCCAGTGAGTCGGTGGCACAGAGCTAGAATACTCGACAACATCTCAGGTGGTTCAAGGTTCCATCCCCGGCCACAAACTCACTCCTTTACCTCGCTAAGCCAGTAATAAAACTGGTAAAGAGGGAAGGCTGGGCATGAGGCCAGCAGCCTCATCCTGTAAAAATAAATACCACTGCTACTGAAACTTCCAAGCTCTAGCTTGAAGCCCTATGTTCCACTGGAGATGTAAAGAAATTAAGAAAAACATTCTTCCCACAACGTTGTATGCCTCAACACCAGAACAGGAGAAAATGGCCACATACGGATTCCCAACAGTTTTATCCTTTTGAGTAGTCTACATTGTCACATGCAGTCACTCGAAGGCTTCCCATTTTCTTCAACTGTATGTGCCTTGACAAACATAGGTCGCCGGAGTGAGGAATGGTTGCACCCTTATGTTTGCTGTAGAAAGCGGTACACTGAATATAAAGGAAATTTTTCTGCTTCTTTCCTTACTGTAGCTGGTGTCTTATAAGATGCTGTTCTTTTTACTTTGCTTTTTTCTTTCTTCTTGAATGACTTGTCTCCTTCTCATGAAGCCAGTTTTGTTGAGTACGCTAATAATTTGAATGTCTGTAAGTTAGACTGTTTCCAGATGAATCGATTTTCATCAGAAATTAGTCATTGGTACTTGTCGAATTTCCTTCAGCTAATTACCTCCAAATGTCAAATTGTTAATTTCACTTTCAGACGCAAACGTGATTTCCCTGAAATTATTCGAATATTAAATACCTTGAATTATATCTGTCGCCCAGTCGAGTCTAATTCTTGGCCTTCCAATATAATGCCAATTTCTAGGTAAGACATTTCGTCTAACTAACCTTCCACGTAAGGAAGTCAAGACAGTCAGATATCACTTAGTCTCTACTTTAACGATTCGTTAATTCATATATCGTACCGATTCTTCTTTATCACTCTGCCTTAATTTTACCTAAGTTACTTAAGGAAGATCTTGTTACATTGAGAAGCATACTGAAAGCTGTTAGTAGGGTTGATGCAGTGTCCCTGAACCAACTTGTTAGTACCGTTGCAGATAGACACTTCACATCATGCAACAAATTAGCAAATAATACTTTGTCGAACCTTGAACATCCTCTCTATATACAACTCTTAGCTTGCATCTCATCAGTCAGGATAAGAGACAGTTATAAAACACTTTATTCTCGGAAGACTAAGTAGAAAACTCTACAATACCTTATTTGGTGGGCATACATTTTATGTGGTGAGAAAAGTGTGTAAGGCATGACAGTACTTATTTACTAAGAAATACTAAGTAAACGGCCCTTTTTACCGTTTCTTTCATTAATAAGAGGCCTACTTTTTGTATCCAGAAGAGGTTAGTTCAGACATTGTCCTTACCTTGGCCATATGGGTTCGAATGATCCTCAATTTTTTGTAGAGATTTCCTTAATTTTAGTTGATATTCTATTTGTTATTCTATTTTTTTATTATTATAACTTATGCGTCTTTCTTGAACTGTGGCAATCCCGTCAATCCTACTTTACAAACCGATATTATTTAAAGAACGCTAATATTGTTATTGACTACTAATCTAGAATATTCTTCGTATATAAACATATATATATATATACTTGTAGAGCCAGAATAGGAAATTATCGAAAAGAATATTCTTTGCTCAATTATTTTGTGTTTTATAAATGTCTGAATGAATATTTTCGCTATATTGAAAACAATAACAGTTCTGTCAGGCTAAAAACCTGATGCACCCGAATTATCCCTCTGACATTGTGAGAGAAACAAGACACTGGCGCTATGCATACAAAACTGTGGTGTTACACTTATAGCTTCCCCTTACAATTATCGATAATCACTCGTGCATTCAAGAAATATACTCATCAGTACACGGCATTATTATTTATTCGGGAGGTGTGGATTCTGTTTCCGCATAAAATTTAAGCTATAATACGATTGACAGACGAACGAGAAAATTAGCCCTACAGATATGGGATATTGTTCTGTCAAGTGCGATCATCACACCATCCACTACTTTGCAAAAAAAGACACTGATATGACTTAAATAATAATTGATTTTCAGAAAATAAACATTATCTGTTTGCAAGGTACAGTGTAACACTGCATGTTATAATACAAAGGCGGTTGTTAGCGAGGAAATGAAATGGCGGTCAGAGTGAAAATTTATTTCGCATAGTGTTAAAATTATTAATGTTATTATTAAGAAAAAATTGAAGGCAATTATTGTTTGTTATTCCTGTCATGTTAGGTATTGTAATGCAGTTATCGGTGACAGTTTTAAAGAACCACCAAATTTTATTGAAGTATGGCATCAATAGTTTTGATGAATTCATCCAGTGAAACCTTTCCATCTTGATTTAAATCCATTAATTTCATTAATTCCTGTAAAAGGAATAAAATAGATGACAGTTGAGTGGCTGTAAAATGAGCATTTGTTATATACATATATATATATACATATTCAGGTTCTGTATATGATCTCAGTGATGTCGGCGTAGGATTGCCCAAGTTATAAAATGCACTTCCATTATGTGCTGATGGGAGATTGGACACACAATTTATTTATAATACGAAACTAAAATGGTCTCACATCTTAATGAAAGAAATAACTGAAGTTAACTATTGAAGATTTGTTACGTTAAGGAGAGTTCTAAATGCTTTCGATTCATAATACACGAACTGATAGCTTGGATCTCAAAGCCTGGAAGGCTGTGGAATTCCTTCTGAAAACGGATACAGAGACCTCAACAGACATGCTTACGCTACTATTGAAAAAGTTTGCGAATAAAGAAAGATGCCTACTAATTTTTAAAGAAAGGCTACTGTGTCAAACTACCAAAGAAGAGTGCTTTGGGTCACTGCAAAAACAGTAAGATTATTTTGAAAAACTAACTCAAAATGTAATCCCCAACTTAAGTCATATCTTCAGTTACCTTCATCTGCAGTATATACATACTTGGTATCAAATATGAGGTTCATGAATATACAAGGTGAATGAAATTTAATACAAAGAACACTGTATGATGTTTGATATATACAGTGAATAGTCAATTTGAATCTACAAAAACCGAGGTGAGCGTCTCAGGGTTGTAGTCAATTTAGTAAAAATTCCACGATAAAATAATCTGATTAGTCATACATAATATTCGGTTGGAAGAACTCCAAAATATCTTCATATTCATTAGTTGTAATACAAACATGTCTCTCCTTCGTTTTCAACTTTAATGTGTAGACATAAGCAGTGTGTTTGTTACTGTTTATTGTCAGGCATCTGATGTAACATGGAAGGAAAACCCAAGAAGTTTGGTCATGAACTGATATTTTATTTTGCCCACAGTTCCAAAAACAATCTGTTGTACTCGACTCTTCACTAGGATGGATTTAGAATTGTGTGTTTGAATATCTTTATGGAGGCTAAGCACCTCAAATCCAGACATGTTCAGACGGAAGATGAGATAAGAAGTAAGTGACGCGATCAACGAATAGACTTAGATTCCAGTGAGATAGTCTTAGTGAGGAAATCATTTACTACGCTGTAAGCCTTACTCATAGAGTTATCAAGAAATATAAAGAGTTACAAATAGATTTTCTTAGCATTATTATATGAAAGGTGCTTGATACTTTCTTAACTACCTATCATCCAAGTGGATAGGCAAATTATATAAACAATTGAGATAAAATAAGCTTTACCACTCTATACATAATAAGAACTGTTGTAAAAGTTTGTCTGAACATACCTCTAAAAATTCCTCATATTCGCCGGATACTTCGAAACCTTCTTTGAGTTCTGTAAAGGTCACGAATCCATCGTTATTTTTATCCAGCTCTTTGAACACTTGAATCAATTCCTCTTTTTCGTGTTTATCCATTAGTGTTACTCACAAGGAATTAATAATTTGTCAGGAAAACGTATTAAGAATTGCACGAATTCTATCTAACAAAATATAAAATCATCTTATAGTATACTTTGAAAGTGTTAATGCATGTTGTGCCACCTCTGAGATCAGAGAGTGCACAACATTATGAGAATAAAACAAATATAGATTAATCGAGGAGCTATCAATCATCAGGTGTCCTTTATTCTGCTGATGTAGACTCGATGTGAGACTTATCAGTTTGGGCATAAACACTGACTAATTTCAAAGACAGTTTAACATACTACTGGCTATCGGGTTCACTTATTTCAATTAATTGGTCAGATTACCTACTAAAGATCTATATGACGTTAACTATGAAACTGAAATGAAAAAGTATGAGTAAATACATTCAGTAAAAGCAAACATCACTGAACTATTCTTTACCAAGTGTCTTTCAAGAATCCTCCTGAATTTATTATTCGATAAAAGGAATTCAAATAGACGCTTATTGTTAAAATAATCTCTTTAGCTAAACATTGTGTCAGTGTGCTATGCAACTAAGTGTTACGGATACTTTCAAAATTGTACAGCATATATTGAAAATCGCATAGAACTTACTCTCTACTGCAGATGGATGTATGCAATATGGAAAAAAGTACACAATCCTTCTAGTTTTATAGTAGACTTCAGAGGCCTATAAATAAATAAACCACATATAGTAGTAGTGTCATTTGTCATTGGCTTTTCTGAGTATATACTTTCAAGTGACAAGTAACAAAAACAAAACGCCCACTCTACATGTGTATACTATTTTGAGAAATGTGATGTCAAAACTTATTTCAGGCGTTTACCAAATATAGTGTGAAAAGTATCTCTCAATCTTCATTGGAAAGTTTCATAGATGAAAAGCACTGTTTTTGCATTCTTATTACTAATATTTATTAAATCTATCTACGTGACTACAAAACACTGGAAATCACCTTAGCAGTTGAGTGATCGTTTGAAAGAAATACCTTCTGAAGATATTTTTAGCTTGTGTGTGTGTGCGTGTGTGTGAATAACTTGATTTAATGCACACTTTGAAGAGTGCAAGTGTGTAATTTTGGTTGACGGTGAGTGGCAGTGGGATTTGTGATGCGCGTTTCATCCTAATCGGGACTAGTCAACTGGATCCACCTGGATTACCGAGTGAGTGATGGTGCTCCGGATGAGATTTGAACCCACAACTCGTCATTGTGAAAGCCGAAAAGTCACCCACTACATTGATTAGGCTAAGAGAGTCGTCTCTTTTCTGAGGCAGGTATGAATTATTATTTATTTTCAGTTCAATATTTTGATTTCATGAAAAATTCCCATTCGAACATTAATAGACAGAAGACAAGTAGTTCAGCGAAGAGTCTCTTTTCGGCGGCGAATTCAGTTTCATAGCTGTACAATCGCAAATATGTACATGGTTGTTTTGTATGTGTGTGTACATTAAATTTGTCAAACGAAAATACAATTAGTAAGTTCAGATGAATTGGACGTTGATATAAGAGGGTAGTAACAAAAGTGATGAGTTGTCACAAACGGTTGTTAAAGAAGAGTTGCGTAATAACATGAATAGTTTAATGAAAGAGTTGTACTCAGGATGTACATGGAAACAAAATATACGGAATTACACAAGGGTTTTGAGTAGAAAAATAAGCATACAAAGAAAAGTTAAGTTAAATCAACACAGTTGTTACCATGGGAGTAGAAGTGGTTGAATAATTTCCTTTTGTATGCACAGTTCTGCTTCCTCTAGCCTAATGGCCAGGTCTTCTGCGATGCAAAGAAGACGGAAACGTATTGCCTTAGGCAGGTTGTTCTTCACTTTGTAGATTACTTTGAAGCAGGAGGCGTTTGTTGAGATAGAATAATCAGTGGTGACGAGATGTTCGATTATTGCACTCCTTATACGGCCACTATTTCTTTTCTGCAGCCACGCTGGATAGTATTCTTTGACCCTTTTTGACACGATGCGCGTCGAACGACCGATGTACCTGGCTCAACAGCAACAGGTTAACTGATATATACACATAGAAGAAGGGGTCAGGTGCAGGATTTTGTCTTTTGGGCTTCTGTAGATCAGCAATTTTGATTTCACCATTGATTGACTGGACGAGAAATGCGTATCCTTCATCCAACTGCTAGTCACTATGCACTAAATTACTTCAGTTTAATCCTTAGACATCTTCGAAGTGTTCCACAAAAGAGGTCTAACATTTCGGTACAATCAGTCGACAGAAAAATCAAAATTTGATAATAAAAAAAGTGAATGGTGTATATGTTATTTTCAGTTGTCAGTTCATGGGCTAATGGTCCATGTTATGCCTTGGAGGAGGAGTCTAATCGCTTTAGAAAAACAAGTCACCATTTTCTCAGTTAGTTTGACAGCTGCCATAATAAGTGGAATATCCACAATCATTCTACTGGGCTACTTGTATACTTGACTGTGGAACAAGAGGTGAGGGTGATTTGTCAACAGAAAATGATAGTCTGCTGATTGGTCATCTGTATAAACACAGATATTATTAAGAATTAGTACCAGAATGCGTTTTCTGAGTGCTGAGATTCATCAGCTTTCCTCGGAATTCAACATATTGAAAGGTAAATTTCAAACCTGTATATTATTATTATTACCTTAGGTTAGAAATGGAAAATACGGCTACAACAACATATCTGGATTTCATCGTGTTTTTCTGCAGTCCATTTTAGCTGGATCTGTGGTTCCCCATGAATTCTCATCTTGACCAAACACAATCTACCTCATGTCACACTCGGACCTACCCCCAACTTATCGTTTCCCATTAAGGATGCGCTCGAACGATGGACTGGGGTGTGGTGTTACACTACGGTTTCCTCAGCGTCTACCCAACCCATTTTCTACGTATTTGTTAGGCAGCGGGTTACTGGTTGTTTCGTTCCCAGAATCCCCTGTTGCTTATCCTTTCTGGTCGTATGACCTTGAGCATCGAGTAGGGAAAGCTGTTGATGTAAGTCTGTAGCCTTCTGAATATGACTTTATACGTAATTATGTTAATGAAAAATGAGCGGAATGTAATTATTGCTTCTTAGCTCATAGTAACTTCATACAACTCTCGACTGACTGATATTCATTTGGCTGATTATAAGGTGGGCCCTGAAATAACTTTAGCTGCTCAGAGATTGACTTGCTACCAGAGAACACCCTTGTCGAACTGAAGTATACGGATGATATTCTCCTCTTAGGTGAAGACGTTGTCAAAGTTCAGTCTTTAGAAATTCTTGATCAGAAATCTTTGAATTTTCGGTATGATGCTTTAGGGCTGATGTGAATCGACTCGCAGTTTGAAGAGTAAAGGGAGTGAATTGGCCGAGCATATTGATCACTTCGTTTATTTGATAGGTCCTAATGAACTGATTGCTGACGTAATCTCAGCACCGATAGAAAAACCCAGCTGGCACTTGTCATCTTGTGTCATCTGTAACATAAACGTGATATCCAGCTGCCAATCAACGTAG